ACACACACACACACACACACACACACACACACACACACTAATCTGAATATATGGGATGGAGAATAAGATTAGAGAGATGCAACATTCAGGAAACAAACAAACAAAAAAACTAGATTTAAAGGGATAGTCCACCACCACACAATAAAATTCTATCACCAGACAGTTGCTGATCCCCATTAACTTCTACAGTATGGAAAAAAAAATGCTATGTAAGTCAGTGGGGACCTGCAACTGTTTGGTTACTCAAATTCATTAAAATTATTTTCTTTTGTGTTCAGCAGACGAAAGACATTCAAACAGGTTTGGAAAAACACGAGGATGTGTAAATTACATCATTTTCATTTTTGGGTAAACTATACATTTGTTTGATGAACAGGGTTAAAGGAATAATTGGGTTTTTTTGCCCTTTTGGAGCTTGACTGCCCCAGCCTCTGGTTATATGGACTATACTGTTCTATGAACATTTTGTCAAAAATGTACCTTTAAAAAAAAATTAAAAATTATAAATGAGATATGAATAAATAATAATAATAGATGACTATTGTTATACTATACTATATACTGTATGAAATATTATGAACTATTGTTATAAAAGAGTTGTATCAAGATTTTTTAAATTAATAAATAAAATAAAACTAAAGAATAGTACAAAAATATATTTATTGCTTTGTTAACATTATTGTTTATTACTAAAACGTTATTACCCATCTTCCATTTATAGTCATTTATATAATAACGAAAAATGTCAGCATCTATTTGTGCGCATTTCTTGCGTAATGCACAGTTACCATTACGTCATTGGTGCTTGTTGTTTTCCGTTGTTCTTTGAAATGGTCCCAATCTTTAATAACATTTCAAAACTACCACACTTATGCATCAACTTAGACATAAATGTTTTGAAATGTTGGACTGTTATTTTCAAGCTCAATCACATGTCCTTTTACTCACAGCAAAGGGGCAAGCCACAGAATAAAATCAAGTCTTTCATGCTGAATGGAAAAAGTGATCTGAAACTTGGAATCCATTTGTATCATAAAGGACTGTTGTATTTTCATGAGCAAATTACTCGTATCACAAGAATAACTAAATGAATATTGAATAGCTTCTAAAACATACTAACTATGGGCTGTGTTATGCATGCCTAGTTATTTCTTTACAGATATAATGAGTAAATTATATTACTTATCTAGTGCTTTGGATAACTTTTGGTCAAATACTAGCCTATTATAATTCTTGACAATTCAGCCACGAGATTGGCGCACCTCTCAACAGACCAGATGAACAAAACTGAAGGCCTGTCAAAGGGACTTTATTAGATGCCTAAAAGAGACATTCAAGCAGTGCATTCAAACATTCACTCCTTCCAGCTTGGCAACTATAGTTCAGGCTTGTTCACATAGTTGATCTGCTCCTTAAGACACAAAAGACTTGAAGCACGGACACTATCTGCAATGTCAAATAAGTACAGATGTTCAGAAAGGAGCCACATATGCTAGCTGTAGATTCTTCAAAAAAAGTTAACATAGGACTACTGTTTAAAGTGGTTTACACAGAATTGGTATGTAGGCTATATAGGCCTACTACAAATGTAAGAGACTGAACAGAGACTACAGCTTGGCTCAATGCGAATGAGCAACTGACTGATAACTGAACCAAACTAAACCAGACAAGGTTTGTGCTCAGGACAGATAACCCAAAACTGGCTTCTTGATGAAAGCACCACACCCACCAGTGCTTTAACACAGAAATAGGCCACTACTGACTCATATGAGGCTCTTAGACTATAGCGCTAAACATCTGGACACTTTGGAATGAATGAAAACAGACAGAATTCTTGCTCATCTTTACATTTTCAGATTTCAGTTCGAGTAATTTTAATGTGCTTTTTCCTTTTTATTAGATTTTTTACATTTCTTTTAGTACTTCAGCTTTTTTATTTGTTAGTCGCCAGTGCAACATTTCTAATTTTGTAATTACATTATTTTTATTGAAAGTTTAAGCTTGTCTACTGCTTAGATTTGATTTTAGCTTCATTTCAATTGCTCAAAATGATTTGACAGTTTAGTTATAAATGACAACACATCTATACTAGGCCTACTTATCGGACGTCTACATGTAACATCTTCTGCTCTATTTTAAAGTGTCTCATTCAGTTATTTGTGTCTCTTACCGTTTGCTTGTTCTTTTAAGCGATGTTTTGTTTTCTTGCTTTAACTGGATACTTCTGAGCTTATATCTCAAAGGTTATATATACATTCACCACAAAAATGTCATTGGTCTGCAGTTGCGGTAACCATTTTAAGTCGAAAGATGGAGCCAATTAGTTACTCCAACACGACTATGACAAAATGTTGCTGTTATCTAGCTACATAGTCAACTTCACAGTGGTCGTCTATGAAGCGTTAAAAACAAAACGTTCACGTTTTAAATGAACTACACAGCGGTATAATTCGACATTCTCACGAATATTCGAATATTACATGAGCGTTATACAACAATCGTCACTGAGCATCAGGATATCTAGTAAATTCAAAACAATTTCGTCAAACAAATGTTAAACTTAAAAGACATCTCAGTCAGAGTACGCCTTGTAAATAAACATTTGACGGTACAGTTTAACTGACGCTTTTTGCGATTAATCGCGGCAACAGTTTCGACCTTTTTCGATTAATTGTGCAGCCCTAGAAATATGGCTCAAACATTACCTGATACCTTGGACATTCCCATTCATCTCAGCCTCATTTGCTTAGCAAGTGCAGGATCACGCAAATCACGCGATCTAAACGCCGAGTTCTGCAGCCCAGTTTTTTTAACCAATCACCTGAATCCAAATGCCAAATGCCACAACGCTGATTGGCTGTCTGATGGCATCGCAACAGCGCGCAAACCCCCAAGGTTAGCTAAAATTGCAAAACGCTGAATAAACGGCTTTTAATTAACTGCCTCACATCATAAATCCAGGCTACTTGTCTTCAGAATGTTTAAACGTTGGTCTGGGAGTTCGCAATATTTGGAGTTATAACGCTGTTTTATAAAAGAAGTCAAGTACAACTTTGCTTCAGGTAAGTTTCATTTTGCAGCATTACATATTTTGTTATCTTTCAGTGGTGCTTTGTCTAAGAGCAAAAAGAAAGTATTAGGATGAGAAATAATTAACACTAACATACAAAAATGTGATTATATAGTGTAAATCACTATTTTTCAGAATAAAATTGATAAAACAGCGAAAATAGTGTAAAAAGGGTAACACTTTAGAAAAAGACTAACTGAGGCTAACTTTAGAGGAAGGTTTACTGGAGGTGCGTTTACACAAGTTTTTTTTTTTTTTGGACAACACTGAAGATCCCCTCGAAATCCGCGAAAACACCTATGTATGACAGATCAGTATTTGGCGATGTCACCTTGTAAAAAAAACACTAAACTAACAGGTGTAGTGAATGTGAAGTGGATACTGGCGAACACGCAGTCGGAAACTCAACAAGGCAGTGCCTCCAAATCTCTGTGATTGGCTAATTACCCAGTCAAGTTTCACAACGTCTGTCAAGATTGTAATTGCAAGTTGGTAGGATGAATTACCGTGCATGAAATACTTTTTTTTTTACTGTATTATTGTAGTTAGTTTTAATAAGGTATGAGAAGATAAACTTAGAAAATTGTTTTACACTATTCATTCCTTGTTAATAGTGTAGCATAGGTTTTCTTCCAAAAACATAAAATGAAAATGTTACAAACAAACAAACAATAAATACATGGGTAGGTAGGTATGTATGTATGTATAGAACATCAACTGTATTATAATGAAATGATTTAAATGTTAATTGTAAATTATTGTCATAATACACAGATATTTTTGAATGACAGTCAAAGTAGAAAGATGCTTTTTGTAGCCAAATTGTATAAATAAGTATCTTGTATTTCTTGATACAAGAGATATGAAAGTAGCACCGGTATGTTGCTGTACTACAGTAAAATATACACTTTAGTGGTCATTATGTAAAATACTTGACCGCTTAATGTTGCAATTAACCAATCAGAATCAAGTAATCCAGAGGCTTGTGCAGTAAAATTACAACCATGTATTATTACAACCAAAACTGTATTTACCAGGCACAAAACAAGGAGGCGTTCCTTTAGGTTGACCGCATTAAACTTGGATTTTGATTAATCTCAGTAACCCCTTTTCACCAATACAACTCAAATTTATTCCATAATTTAAAACTAGAAACAGTTTTTAACTAAAATGCCACACAGGCACTTCAATTCAAAGTATCAGATGAATCAGTGATTTATTTATTTTAAGTTAATAGTGTCACTACTTAGATTTTTAGAATCCACTATTTTTTACTATGTAATTTGTTATAGAACAAAACTATAAATGCTCTTCAAGTAATTTTAACCACAGAACTTATTTTACTCATAAATTTGAAAAATTATAGGTGTAAATGAGATTTATGTATAATTAAAAGCATTATTTTTAGTTTGGCAGAGCAGAAACAACATGGTGTTCAGGAAACCCGTTGTTATTTTTGCAGTTCCATTCATTGGCGCAAGTGGTGCAGAAATCACACATTTCACCTTTAATGGATCAATGCTATAAAAAAGAAAAACTTTGTTCTTGCAAGGTCAGAGGAAGACACTGGTTGGTTCATTAAGTGGTGAACTCCAGCTTCTCCTTTTTCAGAGGGAACAGAAATGCTACTATTAAAGGGTTTGAATGATCAATAATCTTAACTAGGAGCTTAATGCACATCTTCTGCATTTATATTGCTTATTGTGTACGTGTTCCTTATTGGAAATCTTAAAGAAAAAGTGTGCAAATGGGAAAATTGCCTATTTTTATTTTGTATTACTAAATAGCTATACTAAGTTACATTCTCCATAAAGAAACGAGATGAGTTGCCTACTGTTATATCAGTCTTGACAATATGGGAATCCAAGATTAAAACAATAAATAAAGAAATGTCATACAAATGTCATGACAGTTTTGCTGTTAGATCTTAAGTGATGTGTTGCTGTTTCTTGTCTATCCAGTATGGTAGAAAGCATTGTAGAGTAGGACAAATGAAATGCAATGATGAATAATAAATGAAGGGTATAAAATAGAAATGTCAGGATGTTAACTGTAACAGGATGAGTGACAGACCAGTTTATAGTGACACGATGCACTAAACAAATAAGTCTGTGGCATCAAGACAATTATATGACATGTCCTATTACCTGCATTCTCTTGCAGTAACATTAAATGTATGTACCGGTACTTTCCCAAAGAGAAAAAGTACATATATATACACAGTGCGTTGTTTAAGTAGGTGGATTGGGATGCATGGTTGCTTTAGGTCATTGCCATCATTAGTGGTCGACCGATATAGCGCCAAGGTCGATATATCGGCCGATATTTGGCATTTTTCAAATATCGGCATGGCCGATAATTTTTCTGTTAGGCCAATGCGTTCGAGGCGGGACTTTTATTTTGACGGCGCTGAGAACGGCAGCGCCTATGCACACAGTGCTCACATTCTCCCTCTTGTTAGCTGTCCTCCTTTCAGTTAACAGTTCTGTCTAATATGGATAGAAGTATGTCTAATAATCAGATAGAACGGTTAAACAAAGGAATTAAAATGTATACAAAGTATTATATTATTAGTAATAGAAAGGCAAGCATCATAATACTTTCTCGTTTGCCGTCAGCATTCAGCAAATACGCATTTATATAATTTAAACAAATCTTTGAATGACTAATGAACATTTAATTTCACAAACCTTGCAAACTTAGTCGAATCCAGCTGTGAGATCGTGTGAAGTGTGCAAGTGTGCATGTGTATCCTGCATGATCGGTGTTCTCTGTGTGACGGTCGGTCCGTGCGAATTGTATGCTGACAGGAGGAGAGTTCAGCTTCACTGAAGACGTGCGATCGTAAACTCGTGATTTCAAATTATGCAGCGCTTCATGGTTTTGCCCACTGTCATATTCATCATGTAATTTTCACTGTGTGCTGTATGTAAAATGAGTGTAACCTTGGCTTTATTTGAAAAAATATGATTCCCAATGCACACAAACTTCCCAGAATACTGAGTGTCCTGTTGGTTACAGTGTTTACTTCCTTTTTAATTATATTTGTATTAAATATTTATTTATTTATTTGTGAAAAATACTTTGTCATCTGAAGTATAAGTATGTTTATTTTACACATTTATTTTTAATCCATTTTCAAATTATTTCAAATTTCTTGAATATTAATTAAAATAAATACATTTGTATCGGCCACCCTGCTTTCCAAGATATCGGCATCGGCTGTCAAAAAACACATATCGGTCGACCACTAGCCATCATGCCTTGATTGTATATTATCAGTTGATAAAAGCACCACCTACTGGTTAGAAAGTCATAAAAATCGTTTTAAATGCTCTAATACAGTAATACAGCAATTATTAATTTTTGCAAGCTTCACTTTTTTTTAATCCAGTCTTCATCTGTTAGCTTAATTGTCTTCCCCTAAATGAAAAACAAATCTCTCCATAACAAATCTGCTGGTTAAGATGGCAAGCAAGCATTGAGGCTATATCTTTTGAAGATTTTGTGAACCGACAAACTTTTTATGTATCATTGTCACAATGCCCTGAGAATATGAAATACGTTTGGCTAAAATTTTGAATAAGTTAATTAGCATGTCTTTTTCTTCATTTACTGCTGGGCTGTGATCACACAAAGTGGCCAATAATTGCATTTTGCCATTTGCAAGTTGTATTTTGGTATATTTGATTTGCCCATCCAGACTGGTCATGATTAGTGATTATTCTCACATAAGATTTTTTTTTATCAACAAAAGCAGTTGTTTTCTATATTTGTAACATGTTCTTGACATTGAAACTTACTTAATGTAGGGGAATGCAATGAGAAATTATGATTCTAAAATTGAAAATGTTAAGTTTTTTAAATCACTTATGGAAAATGTATGTGTAAAACTAACTCAAATTCCATTTCATCACATGGACAATGAAAATGTGTTCATAATTAAATCTTGTCATTAAAAACGGAATGTTATGCCCTTAAACCTATGTAGCATCACCATATAAGCAGCTCTATTTCATGTAATTTCAAAACCAAACTACACTGGGGCATGTTTTAAGTCAAAAGTTTTAAAAGACATTGCTGCAGCACAATACATGCTATTTAATAATAATAATGAAACATAAATAAAACTAAATCATTGGTTTGTTTTGCAGCAAGAACATCCGAAATCTGTTATACCAAACAGAGATCAGACTTTAAGATTTTTTTTTTTTTTTACAAAATATGACGCACGACGAGAGCAAGAGATCCAGTTGAAATGAAATCCCGAGAATCAAGGCAGCAATATATTGTGAACATGTATGAAGATTTGGTATAAGGCACAATTAAGACAAAATAAGACTCATTCTTGAATTGACAAATGTATATGATTTTTCAGGATACATTCAACAGAATGGCCGTTGAACTGCAGCTCAAACAGTATCAATTAAAAAAAACTAACTAATGTTATTATGGTTGTTATTCTGAGAAAGACCCCTTCAGTTATACTGTAGTATATTACCTCATATTCTTAACAGTTTTGTTCTGAAAATTATAAGATGATAAAAGACTTGGATACGATCACACATTCCTTAGAAAATGTAGTGGTATTGTTAGTGCACATTATTACATTGGTTAACCACTGGAACCAATCAACAGTACCCATACAGGAAAAGGAGATTGCATCAAAATGACATTATGACATGTGTTATTACAGATCGGTTAGTCTGCATGCTTCAGGTCA